GGGGGGGAGAGAAGGGGCGGGGGGGGAGCCGGGGGGGGGGGGGGTGACGATGATGGATGATGCTCTCCCTACGTATGGCAGGAGGAGCGGTGGGCGTCAAAGACCGATGCCAACCATAGAGTCGATCAAGGGCGAGAGATAGGGAGAGAGGCGCCTACTGTGGCGTTTCTACAGCTACGCTGGCGTGCGCATGAACGCGAGCAGGAGGGAGGGTGGTGTACGGGAACGGAGCGGCTCGGGAACGGCAGAGCTTGGAGTGTACGGCGCAAGAAGACGGAGATCGCTTGTTGTGATGCCAGAAAGAAGGGCGAATAGCGTAGCGCTATGCGTACGTGCTTCCGCAGAAAAAGAAACCGGTGCAGAATGCGACCCTCCAAAATACAAGCAGGGTTTGGCCTTTGGATCACCGCAAGAAAAAACAACACCAAGCTTAAGAGACATTACAAGGCATTTTTTCTGTTATTTTCCAGCGTAGCCAATACGACATGAATCCCACCACCAGCGGAACCACTTGCTGATGACCACCACCACCGACAACAACAACAACAACAACAACAAGAGGCAACGATACCGAACACAACAAAGAAAGAGCCACGTGCCTGCTTGGTCGCGGGTACTTCCCACCCGATCTCATCTGAGTGCCGCCTCTGCTGTATGCATACGTCGCAACCAGGACCATCCTTCACGGTGTGCTGGACGGGGGTCATGACGCTGCTCGACCCCGAACCCGGCACAGCAGTGGTGCCGGACACTGCAGCTTGCAAGCACTCCCCGGCGGCCGAACTACAATCCTGATCACGACAGAAGAAACGGAAAGATACGTGCGTAAGCGCGGTTGAACCACAATCGTGACCACGATAAAAAAAAAACGGAAACACACGCATACGTCGCGTGGTTGAACTACAATCTTGATCGACGATAGATGGCAGATACAGAGAGTAACCTATCAATACGCACGCATGGTTGCACAAACCAATGTCAGCATCATGGGTCCGATCGGTCGTGTGGCGGGTCATGAGGGCGGAGGCTTGAGATGAATGGTGTAAGTAACACACACGCCTTTTTAATTGCCACACTGAGACAGACTGGCATGTTTTCATTGGTCCGTCCGCAAGCGCCGCCGATTGTTACTACGAACGACACACGGGCACACAAAGGCTCCATAGCGCAAGGAGAAGTCAGATAAATAGAGTATTCCGGTACAGGGCGATGATGTTAGCATGGGAGATTGAGATGACGGAGCAGCAATTCTGCTGGGTCGTGGCGTTGAGTCTTCTCCATTGTGCTCCAGAAGCAGGACACTGCGGTCCAACTCCTGCGCCACTCCTTGCCGGTAGACACCAAGCTGTCACTGGAAAGCGTGTTCGTTCGCGTTTGTTTTCCCGCTGTAAGACTGGCGTCTTTGCATTGGCTTAGCGCGGTCGATGCCGTTCAAACAAACGCACACGCGCGCGCGCACGGAGTGGGCAGCGTCGTCGAACACAGCAGAAGTATCTACGTACGTATCAGCCGCAAGAGGAAGCGTTTACTATTCTGACTGCTAGCGCTCGAGGCCCGTTCGGAACATTATTGTTTCATATGCCATGTTTCACACCGTCCCCTCTGGGGCAAAAAGGTGTGCGTTCTTCGGAGTGGGGGATGTCTGGTCTACAGTCTAGTCTACTTTAGTTGTTGCGTCATTTTGCGAAAAACATCGTGACACCCTTATCCCTCACATTCAATGAGGGTTATCGTAGGTTGTTGATGTTGTCTTGGCTAAGTGTGGTTGTAAATCTTACCCTCGCGCGAAAAAAAACAACCCCAAATAAATCCCAGCTGCTTGTTTGTCCATTCCCTTGCGGAATCGAAACGGCCCTATGCACACCTACGGTTTGCTCTTTCAAGGGCTAGAAAGACGACGCAGACCCTTCGCAGCCATCCAGGGCTTCTCTTGTTCCCGACCTTCCTTAGAAAAGCTCGACAAACGTCGACATGTTCACATGTCACACCCTCAATTAGGTGCTTCCTGAACCACGATTGATTGATTGTTCCTGTCGTGGTTGTGATACACGTACGAGAAAAAGGTTCTCGCACGGTTCAGTGGTGTGGCTCCTTCTGTAGAATCGAAACCTAGGTGTTTGTTTCATTTTGTGTGGGCTTACTGTTAGAGGGGTTTTGGGTCGTGGGGTGTAGGGTCACAGCAGTGTCGTCCATTAAAAAGTATGTGATTAGCCCCCCATGTACCGAGTGATGTAGATGTGGTTTCACGGCGAACCAAGTTGACTAGACTACTATTTGTACAGTAGTACCGCTGTTTGCATGAGTCTACCGACACCGGGTCAAAACGTGTTTCGGGGGGTGGGTTCAGGCTGTGCCACACACAGATTTCAATAGACAACACTCAACGACCAGCTGAATGACGCCGAAGGTGTGTGTGTGCATATATATGCAACATTCATACAATAGTCTATCCAACAATATAACAATATTGCCTGCCCAAAACCAAAACATTCCCCAAACCTAAAACCAATTAATGAAAGCAAACACCCCCCTTCATAATTGCATTTTTTGTTGTTACTGCTGTAGTTGTGTCGACAATAAAAAACGACGTCGCATGAGAGCAAGCTGGGGGCAGCTGCGTGTGTGTGTGTTTGGTTAGACGCACAAAACAGCATACGACAGAGCAGAGCGTGCAATCCCTGATGCACCGCCGTTGAGAGCTCTTGAGGGAACGTACGTACATAAATGCATTGCATAGGGAGGGATCTCAACGTGCGTACATACACAATATTCACGCGGCGGCGGATTTGCACGCAATGAAGCAGAAACGTATTACACATGGATGGATCCTACGGGTGTACTTATAGTCTTACAGTCAAAGGCGGATTGATTATTTTCTCTCCATCAGTTTCTCCCCATCAATCGCGACATGGACCCACCTTTGCCATGCGATATTCCTCGCCAGGATCAACAGGCTGACTAAGCTGTAGGTGTCGGCACGTTGGCACCGCCTCGCTGCGCGCGAAAAACCCCGCTGCTGCTGCTGCTGCTGCCGCTCGCTGCGGCTGCTGGATCCCGCCGGATGGCCAAGCCCTATATCTTGGATTTAAAGCGGCGCAAGTTGGCCCCTCCAGCCTCGTCGCGAGCTGGTTGGTACAGCAGACAGACAGGGGCAGATGGTGCACCGAGAGCGAAGGTCAAGATACGCTATGTTGCACTACAGCCGTCTTCTTCATGGAACGTGGATGGATATGCACCATCACGTCATCACGTCATCACGTCATCACGTCATCACGTGTGTGTCTCGAAATGTGCATACAACTTCACACTTGTACTTGTAAAACACCAGTGATGTGTGAGACACTTTTCAGTCAGTACACCACTGCTGTTAAATAGCACGGCGCAACTCACGGATGGATGCTGCTGTGGGCGGTTAGTTGCGACAAAAAACCGAACACAGAAGAAACGGACGGGTGCAACTTCCAAGCTGCTGCTTGTACCGTTGAGCACGTACACGACCATTGAGCACGCACACGACCGCAGCAGAAGGCAGAAGCTGCGAGCGAAGATAGATAGGTGGCACATGCACCACCCGCGGTGTGAGGAACGAACGAGGCTACTCGTGTTCCTCCTGTGTGTGTCTGCTCGGTCGGGCAGTTGGGATTTTCAAAACCCAATTATTTTCGGACCGCGACATACATCCAACACACCGCACCGAGAGTTCCTGGTTCCCGCTATCCGACAGGGCGCAGCAGCGAAGATATCATCCCCACAAGGGACCACCTCAAGCCCGTCTGTGCGTTAGGCCCCGACTCACATGTGGGTGTCGTGCCAGAAGCTGAGTCGGGCGTGTGGAGTGAAAGATCCAGCCGGCCGTGGGTGAATTTGTCGTATAGTACAGTATGTGCGACTGAACGCGTGGAGCTCGGAAGCTTATATGTGCAGTGTGTGTCTCGTGCGCGCTATGCCACACAGCACTGCGCGCGTAAGGTGTGGGCAAAGAGAAAGAAGTTTTGTGCGTTGGCTCCGTTGGTGACGATCGGTGCAAGGCCCTGGTGCTGTGTGCTCGCTGTCGTCGCGCGTCTGGTCTACCAACCTGCTGGAGCAAGCAGCCCGCAGCGGCAGCATTCAAATTTTTGCGCCAAGGACACCCCGCCCGCCGAGAAATGACACACGGAGCCGCTAGCCTTAGACGACACTCAGCAGCAACAGCAGCAACACATGTGCAGCAAGCAGCACGTACAGGGCGAGACGAAAAGGAAACGGTCACATGTACCGAGGGTTGTCTTTGCGAACGAGGGCATCGAAACGTTCAAAGTAATCACACCTGAAAACCCACGGTTTTGGGAGCTCATCATGTGCGTGTGAGTTCCAGCAGTATAAATTACTGTACCAAAAGACGTTCCGCAAAGAGTAGTGCACAGCAGCAGTATAGCTCC